GTAGTTGCTATTCAGTTTACACGAAATGGGAGTTCAGAAAATTGCGGAGAATAACGTAGGTCCCGTCTAGTAGGACCACTGGCTTTAGGATTTAGGACCTCTACTGCCAAGAATGGGCTCCTCAAGGTTCCAAGCCCAAAGCCCAAAAGCTGCGGCCCAAAGCACTCAGGCCCCAAAGCAAGGCCTTCCAACGAACCTACAGCCCCAAGTCCCTTACGCTCTTCAACCCTCACGTAAAGCCCCAAAGCACGAAGGGCTTCAGTGATTCAAACCCTCGTATTTTAAAGCCCTTTGCAAACGACTCTTTGCTGTTGGTCCTTGTGCCCACCCCAGCCCAGCCACGTGCGCCAATCCCCAACCTCCCCCTTACCCCAAACACCCAAGCCCTAAATCCATCCGCACCCGAAGCTGAGGACAAGTCATCCTTCTGTGGGGGAAACAGCACCAAGGCCACGTCGGGCATCAACGGGGCAGGCCGGAACATCACCGAAGAGCACTTTCCCTATAGCCTAGGCTCGGCTCATCATCCTCATCATCGTCGTCATCATCACGGGCATCATCATCATCATCACCATCACCATCGTCATCACCATCGTCATGTAAACGCAACACATCGCATAGGGCTAATGTTGCTAGAGTTCGCGGCACAGGCACGAAGACGCAGAAAGCAAAGGGCATCCCAGACAACGCCGACATTTTCACCCAGGCCCGTTTAGGCATTGAACTACTTGTAACTCTCTGTATAGCATACTTTTCAGTCGAAGAAGTTCGTAGAGTGTATGTACTCTTAACAAGTTTAGATGAAAAAGTTATTACCGTGAAGTCTACAGAAAGATCGGTGGGGCGCCAAAACGGTCCTTCCGAAGCTGAATGTTGAGTGTTGAAGATAGATCCCGGATTGCTAGAGCGTGCAGCTTGTAACCCTCACAGCAAGCAAGAATCCACGTCATGAAAACTCTGTTTATTTCAATAGATACTGCTGTTTCTTTGATTGTCATGCAGACAGGTCGTTGTTTCAGTTTATTCATGACATTTTGGCTGTGAGGACACCCTGAAGGGTGGTGCCAAGAAGCCCGAGCTCGCGAAGTGCGCAGCTTGGGGGGAAGGGATCAAGGTGCCTACGCGATAAGCTCCCAAAGCTCCACGCCTTTCGATGGCTGGACCCAGGCACTAAGCCACTGACTTGACACTCAAACCCCAAATCCAAACAATCATGACACCAAGCCCGAACACAATAAAGCGTGTTTGGTGTATTGAGGCAAAGTCTTACATTTCTGGAGCCTTCAAGTAAGCTTCACTTTGTGAGTAGTAAGGATACTTGTTGCTGCTGTCATTGTAATTTTAGCATACAGTCGTTCTTGTTGCTGTTCTTGTTGAGTTCACTGTCGTTCTTTGTGGCACGCGCTCGGCCATTACTGTAGTGTTATTCAGTTCTGAGTCTTTCTTAGAAGACAAGCTTGCCATGTGGCGGGTGTTGGAATCTAGCCGCCAGAAACCCAAAAACTCCAGCTGAGTTTGCCACTGTTCCAGGTCGACTAGGCTTTGAGCCTGTGGGTCCATCAAACATCAGGAATATGGATGCATAGTATATAATGAGTTACACCTTTACCAGCCGTAGGTTTGAGTCTCCGCGCCCCCGTGCCCCCCAACCATTGAATAAATCTGGCAGACTTGAGCCCTTCGACGCCATTATGGCCCCACTCCCCAAATCCTAGATTTTATTCATGCTATGCCATAATAGCCGCTGTATAAAGCTACATACATATATACTTAATTTTGTATAAAGTTATATGTATACATACATATATATATATATATAAATATAAAAGTGTGTAGGTATGTAGGTATGTAGGTATGTATGTATGTATGTATGTATGTATGTACGTATGTATGTATGTATTTATGCACATATATATATATA